CAAGACCCAACGTTAGCCACTTCACCGCTGCCATTGGGATGTGGCAAGCCTCAGCAGACTGTTCCAGAAAGCCCTTTCCAAGGCTGCCAGCAATATCCGCTAACAAGAGGACCTCGGGAGAGCAATGCCGGGCCAGGGGAAGCTGAGACAAGTTCCCTGGTCTGGGGAAGATGTCTAGGAGGCCAGCATCTGGGCCGACCCCTTTATGTATCTGGAGAAATAGCCAGGGCTTAACCAGTGAGCAGTTTCTTACGCTTCTTTCCTGGCTTAAAGAGCTTTTGTGTTACCCAACACCATTTAGGACCTTGGCCTCCCTAAGAACAACATAAACATGCTGCTGGAGACAGAAGAAGGAAAGTTTCGCAGTTGTTTAGCTGATCCAAGCTCATCTTCAAACCAGGCAAAAGGGGCAGTCCTGTCCCCTCCCTACAACATCAGAGCTCAGGGAAACACGGGCTTTTTTTTCTCTTTGTTTTTTTTTTTGTAGGATTACTCTAAGGCCAGACCACAGGGGAGAATTGTGGGGAGGGGGCAGGCCCTGCTCTTTCGGCAGCATCCAAGACTTCGGCTGCAGGTCTTTAGGGTGCCGAGCTGATCTAAAAGGGTGGCCGGATCCTCTCCAAACACCAGGGCTCCAGGTCACCGGAGCCTCTGCTGTAGTGCAGCACTCTGCAACACCCAGCTAGCAGGCAGCTGCAGGGCAGGTTGGATCAGTGCTAAACCCCGCTGCCACCAACCTCACTCCTTTTTTTTTTTAATTCTCCGGCTGGGTCACCTCCTTCATCGGGCTGACTGGGGGGCAGGGACGCAGGCTGGGCCCCGCGGGCCTTGGCTGCCACAGCAGCAGTGGCCTTGCACCTCAGCTATCCCCAGGCGCCCCAAACCCCCGTCCCCTCTGGCTGTGCTCAGGACAAGGGACTGCAAGTCCCAAACACAGGGAAGCACAAGAAGAGCCAGCGTCACACTGCAGGCAGAGCTGGGGGAAAGCTCCGTCGTCCCCCAAAACCTCCAGGGTCACTCTGCTGAGGGTGCAGAGGCAGATCCCCCCAGAGAGCCCCGCACCGTGCCGGGCTCCTCTCCACCGCCCTCCCCTCTCTCTCCCGAGGCCACCGGGCAGTCAGGCCCCGACCAAGCCCCGTCCCGGCGCCTTGGGGTCAGCCGGCCACCGCGGGGAACTCAC